TCGCTCCTTCCAATCAGTCTATAGAATGCACTATTTCAAAGCTTATGTGGATCATGTCATTGCCCACCAAACTTTAGATGGTTCTTCGTGCCCCTCCTACAATTTTATTATCACAATTTTGGTGCAACATAAATATGTGCCAATCCTGTGCTTTATTAAAAAATGAAACATATTCGTATTGATATTCATTTTGTTTATAGTGTTTACAATGTGGTGCTTTGCAGATATCTCATGTCTCCACTTCTGATTAGCTTGTCAATGCACTGACCAAACAATTGTCTTGTGTTCACCTCAGTTCATTTCTGTTCAGAATTGTTCTCTCTGATGGAACCACCATCTTGAGGGGGCATATTAGAGTTAATGCAGTAGTTTGGATATTATCTTCTGATAAATATCATTCGACTACTAATAATCATATTGTAGATATTTCTGTAACCATTTTAAGACATAGATAACGTAGAATCATAGTTTCTATAGGTTATTTGTACAATATATATACGGTTACAAACCATTATTCAAGTGAGTTTAGGAATGGTAAAAAACTCCATTAAACCTGATACCCGTGTGGTTCGAGGCGGGGATTACCTATTTAATTGAGTAATCGGACTGGGTACGTGGTGGGGAATTCCATCTCGATGCGGGTACAGGTCACAATGCCTCCACCCTTTTTTTTAAAGAATTCAATATTTAAATGGAAAAATTCAACGAAATTTTATTAATTCCAATAGAAGATGGCAATTAAAATTATCTAAGGTTGATGATAAATAATAAAAACCTTAGTTTACTTAATATAATCGAATAATTTAACTTTTAAAAATAAATTAATTAATTAAAAAATTATAATAACCATATTATTGTCCCACTTGAATAAATAGGGGTAATAAAATTGAAGGAAAAATTTCATTGGGTGTCAAAATTTGCCATGTCATTATAAAAAATGTCACATTTTAAAAGTTCTATAAAAAATGTCATTTTAGGACATATTTGACCCTCTGAAATATTTGAATGCCTTCTATATCATTGTACAAAACTTGTGTATTGTGTCAAAATGAAATAACAAAGTGTTGGAAAAGCAAAAAAAAGAAAACACAGCCAAATGAAAACAAAAACAAGCAAGAGAGAAAACGACCGACACTTTGACCAAAACCACCCCTAAACTCTCCCTTCTCCCTCACTGCAATCGTCGTACACTGCCCTATCGTCGACGACCTGTGAAGCAAGCACACCATAGCTGGACCTGTGTTAAGTTCCAAGAGCCCGCCGTGTCAGTCCGAACTGTTGAAGGGGCTGAAAAAAAATTATTTCTTTGTTTGAAACCCACTGATCTCCCTGGATTCAATTGTTCAGCAGTATTGTTCAAGAAATAAAAACCTAGATGGCTTAAGCCTTGAGGCTCCTTCATAAATTACTTTTAATGGGTTGTTTCCTTAGGTGAGTGAGTGTTTAGCGATGGAGCTCCTCTCGAACATGCCGGGGAATCTCCCTAAAACTCTAACGAATGTCATATCTGAACTGTAAGTATATTTTTCTTCAATCTTCATCTCACTCAACTAACGGTTTGTTTCCTATATTTTTGACATTACAATTTGTGTTTTATCGACCGTAATTAATATAAATATTGACAAACTGAAAAAATGTATTTTTATTTTTATTTTTTAATGGTTTATTTGTCAGGGGAAAATTGGTTGCATAACATTTCTCTTCTACTGTTTTAAGAGTGTACCAAGGAATTATTTTATTTTATTTTAGATGAAAAATAGTATTAGAATACTGTGATTATGTGAATTGTAGCTTAAATGGATTAATAGTATATTTTCTTCCTTTTCCCCTCCTTTTTGAGCAGACGATATTCAGTTGTCTCGGGGAAATTTGTACTTCTAAGTTATGCAATTGGATGGTTGTTTTGCAATTAGATAATCCTCTTCCTGATTGATGTACTATGAGAAATTTGAGGGCAAGTAGAAACAGTGAAGAAAATTTTAAGTGTTTGCGTACAGTTTAAATTAATAGTGGTTTCTGTACTTTCAATTTTGACTTTATCATTGGTGGCCTCGCGATGAGGCAGACCAAGGTCGAAATACTTTATATCTAGCTCCAGAAATGGAAGTATAAGGTGTAAAATTGTATAAAAATGAAGAGTATGGATTAGATATTCTTTTTCCCCTGAAGAGAAAACAAATGTGATGCCGATACAAAAAGTTGACCTGTTTATGTAACATTATGATTGGTAAAAGATTTCTTCTTGTCTTTTGTAGCTCCTTGTTGATTCACTTTTGTACTCTATCTTTGTAGCTAATTGAAGTTTGGCAATAGGGCTATAGTTTTACACTAGATTATGGACCTAGGTATGTTGCCGAATTGTAAGGGTCAATTCGAGCATTCTTAGAAAGAATTTTGCACTTGGCTTGATATAATGAAGTGCCAACTTCCCTCTTAGTCATTGATGATGAAGTTATAGTTTGTGCAAAATGAGTTGTTG